ACCATTTACAAAGTCACAGTGTGACTTTGTAAATGGTCCAAGTCGGACCGAAACGTCGTCGTAAGCTTCTCTTTTATGTGCGGGTTATTTGTGTATCGTTCCAGTCACGGTATTGTGCCTTTTTTTGTTATTTAAGCAGCTCCTCGTTAACAATGGTGTTGAGGGTGGCAAGATTAGGGTGGGAGATGACGTAAGTCGTGTCGTCAGCAAAGAGAATGGGTCCTATTTTTTAACATTGATTGGAAGTATGATAGTAGGGATAACTCACTAACAGTTCCAGATTTTTGCTTAGCAAATTACAATGGGCATAGAAAACACTTATTATCTGTGGACTGGGTAACAAAGAGAGCTATCAATATGATAGCTTCCTCAACACTATACATGCTGCCAAAGAAAGTTTATTCTATATGAAGAAATAAGATCGAAGAGAAATGGCCCGAAATTGATGAATAATAGGCTCAAATATCTTATAGGGCAGAAGAAAGGAATTTATAAGTGCATCAAAAGAGGTGAAGGTCATCTTATAAATCAATTTAATCACATTAAGAGGGAGGTTAAAAAGGGAATAAGAAAAGCAAAATAGGACTATAAAATTAAAGTTTCTAGGGATTCGAAAAGTAACTCAAAAAGTTTTTTCCAGGTTTATGGAACAAAAGTTAGAGAAAAGATGGTCCCTTTAAAAATAAGTCAGGGCATCTTACTGACAAGGAGAATAAGGTGTGCTCGATTTTTAATAATTATTTACTCTCAGTTTTCACACAGGACACTAACAATATCCCAATAATTAATTTTTATAGTGGGCCTGAATAATATAAATTATGTAATATCACAGTCACTAGTGATATGGTTATCAAACAAGTAGACCGATTGAAGCAAAATCCCCCGACCGTGATGAGCTTTTTTCAAGTTTTTTAAGGAATGTAAAAAGGAACTTTGTGGACCACTGACTAATATTCATAATATATCTTTTCAAACAGGTGTAGTGGTTGATATGTTGAAGATGACCAATGCAATTCCTATTTTTTTAAAGCAGGGGACAAGACGTTACCGTCCAATTACCGCTCAGTAAGCCTGAGCTCAGTTGCAAGCAAATTACAAGAGTCATTAATAGGTGATATTATAAGAAATCATCTTGATAAGCATAAATTGATTAATGATACTCAGCATGGATTCACGAAGGACCGTTCCTACATAACTAACTTACTAACGTCCTTCAGTAAAACTTTTGAGGCTGTTGATCATGATAAAGAATTTTTATATTGTTTATTGGGATTTTAGTAAGGCTTTTGATACAGTTCTGCACGAGAGGCTGTTAAAGAAGGTGGCATCTCATGGCACTGGGGGAAAAGTGCTGTTATGGATCGAGTCATGGCTCACGAACAGAAAGCAGAGAGTGTGCATAAATTGGATTAAATCTGGGTGGGGATTTGTAACAAGCGGCATTCCACAGGGATCAGTTTTAGGCCCGTTGTCGTTTATAATATACATGGTATAAACCTTGGTAATAAATACCGTCAAGTTGATTTAGAAAAACACTTAAGCAAACACTAGAACATATTTATTAGAAAACTTTTCGGTCCTGGTATCTTGATCAGTTCTGACAGACAGAGATTGAAAGACAGTATATACGAGCCCCGTGAGGGCGTGGACTATGACTAGGCCTGGGGACAGTTGGTCCCAAAGATGATGGGGTACTTGTACCTCCTCCCATGGGAGACTTAGGTCTCGAGACACTTCCCAGATAGGGAGCCAGGGCCGGGTCACCACTACTTGGAAAAGACCCGGGCCGGGAGAATACCGGCGAATAAGAAAAAAAAAGTATATATAGGCGGATAGTGAGGTGTGAGTGATTCATGGTGACCTGAAGAATGCCACAGAAGAAGACGAATGTCACAGCCCTCTTTACCAACGTTCCTACTGATGCTGCAATAAATATTCTGAGACAGAGGCTCACTGAAAACCATGACCTCCCTTTACCTTGTGGAGAAATTTTCTCCAGGAGGGGGGTATCAGCCCCCTTCAGCCCCCTTCAGCCCTTTCAGCCCTGAGGGGCCACTCAGAAGAGGCGAGCGTCTTGTTTACTGCTAGAGTGAGTAATTGATCACAGATGCTATGCCACGTAGTCAAATGACCTCTGCTCCTTGCAGCGGTGTTGCAACGTGTATTTTTATAAGAGACAGTACATCTCTTACTTAGCAGGACAATTAAGGAAAATCCTGCTCCCACTTTATTACCATAGTAAAGATAGTGTACATTGTTGTCTATGATTAAGACAGCAAGAAACAAACATTCTGCTTTGCTTCATCGAGGAGGTGACAAGGATGCAAGGTACTAGGTCAGCGTTTTTTTTTTGTGTATTAGGGCAGTGACTGCATGGAGCACTGTGGCGTCTGCCAGACTATCTTTGACTCTAGTGAGAGTGACACTGACGCCAGGATAACCAACAAAGAACACTGATCTGTGCGTTAGTGTGGACAAAGTGTCTCACAAAACACGATAAACATAAGAGAGGTGTGATCAGCTTCTCTTGTGATACATTGTGAACAATAAAGACAAATCTTGTGGAACATAGTGTACCAGTGTGTGTTTCCTAGACAATGGAAGACGTGGACATCTAAGGACACTTCAGCTTCTATCAAGTCACCGATATCTGTCGAAGGTGTTGAGAACACCATAGCTCACGTTACAAAGAGCAAGGTATGTTACGAATTTCTTGTAGATCGGGGGATTGCGCAATTCTTGAGTCACAAGGAGTTTGTAATCAACCTATAATCGGCAGTAAGGTGTGGACTTTTGAGTCCAAACAAGTAGGTATTTCGTCAGCCATCATCGAATGAAATATGCTGACATAACACCCCCTAGGGGTAATTTATACTTACAAATTGTATCTCTTGACAGCCCACTGTTGTGATGGTTTCGACAGCTTCTAGACCTCGTCTGCAGGGGCGGCTGTGTAGACGATTTGCTGTCATTTATCAGCTAAGTGTTCATTATATATAGTTATAATAAACACAGCAGGTAAGGCCAAATTCTCAACATACCTCTTCTAGAATTAATCAGTCTAGTGGATCACTGTGTTAATTTCAACTTCAAGTATCAGGACAACTGTTATAAACAAAGCTTTGGGATGGCAATGGGCAGCCCGCTCAGTGCTGTGCTTGCCAACCTCTTCATGGAAAACCTAGAGACAGAGAAATTCAGCAGCCTCATTCCCAACACCGTTACCTGGCTAAGATACGTTGATAATATATTGATTTTCTATCCGAGGCGTCTCAATATCCAGGCCTTTCTCAATAAGATCAATGCAGCCGAACCATCAATAAAGTTTACACCTGAACTCGAAAAAGATGGCAAACTTCCTTTCCTCGACGTTCTCCTGTGCAGATCTCCCGACATTGACAAACTTCTCTTCAAAGTGCATAGAAAACCTACCAACAAGGACGATCATAATTATACACTTCCATTCACACCAAGACACCCGCACTAAAAGAGAAGTCCTCATTGGCTTCTTTTTGAGAGCTCTTCGCATCTCCAGCCCTTGTTTTCTTGATGAATGTATTCACATAACACAAGTCTGTACATGTCTTCAGTTTCCATCTTTCTTCATCCGAGACTGCAGACTCAAGGCACAAACTATCTTCAACAAGCCGCCCATGGAACAGCCCTCTAAGTAGTTCATAGTGCTTCCATGTGGTGATGTTGCCACGAATACTCACCGGGCACTTGCTAAGAGTAACGTAAATGTTTCCACCATAAACACACCATCTATCAAAGACCTCACTACGAAACGCAGCCCCACACCTCTAACTTCCACAGTAGGCGTCTACACCATCCCCTGTGGATTCTGTCCTAAGAAATATGTAGGCGAAACAGGCAGAGATTTTGCGGTCCGCCTGAACGAGCATCGAAATGCCAGTAACAGAGACGACTTAACGTACGCCTGTGTCCTCCACAGAGACTCACGGGGCATTTGATGAACTGGGATGAGGCACAGCTCGTTCTCACCGAACAAGACCTTAGATGCCGACAGTGTCTAGAAGCCTCGCTAATCACCGTCACCGACACAATAGAACGTAACAAAATTTCTAAAATATTAGCATACATGATACTCAAGCAGGCAAAGCACCACCTACCTAGCAACACAGGAGTCACATTATCTCACCATCGTCTACCCGTCCTCATCTCAACATGTCATTTTTCAGGTCACCATGCGTCACTCACACCTCACTCTCAGACTATATATACTGTCTTTCATCCTCTGTATGTTAGACGTGATCAAGGTTCCAGGACCTAAACGTTTTTCAATATATATGTCCTAGTGCTTGCTTACGTGTTTTTCTAAACCAACTTGTCGATATTTATTACCAAAGTTTATACAATCACAGTTTTACTACAAAAAATTAAAATTTTAATTCTTTCTTTTTATTATTATTATTATTATTATTTTATTATTATTATTATTATTATTATTATTATTATTATTATTCCTACTACTACTACTAAAATAATAATAATTATTATTTTTTTATAATAATATTTTTTTACACATTGGCCGTTTCCCACCGAGGCAGGGTGACCCAAAAAGAAAGAAAAATACTTTCATTATCATTTAACACTTTCACCATCACTTATACATAATCACTGACTTTGCAGAGGAGCTCAATTACGACAGTTTAGAAGTCTCTGTAAACTGCCAATGTCCCAAACCCCTCCTTTAAAGTGCAGACATTGTACTTCCCATTTCCAGGACACAAGTTCGGCTAACCGTTTTATCTGAATCCCTTCACTAAATATTACCCTGCTCACACTCCAACAGCTCGTCAGGTCCCAAAAACCATTCGTCTCCATTCAATCCCATCTAACACGCCCAAGAAAGTAGAGATTAGGTTCAATATCTCGGAAGTAGAACTAGCTATTAACCAGCAAGGAGGTGCTCCTCTAGAAGGAACACCGCATTAGAGCTAAACAATTTTGATAATATAATTTCTATGTTACTTTACCTTCTGCAGGATAATGACAAAAATTGAAGTTTTCGCCGCCACTTAATTTGAAAACATTGAGATTTGCTTCATTGATGACGCTACGATGACGCAGTAGCCAAGTATTGGTTTTACAAGTGGAAGATGTACACAACTGGAGTGTAAGCTCGGTGCTGGACACCATCACCAATAGTTTGGAGGTCTGGCCAGGAAGAAAATATGTATGAGGAGGCCAGGATGACTGTAATTCTTCAGTTTCTGTATCTGTTGTCCATGATAATTTCTGCCAAGTATCAGTACTAGTGATAATAAGATTTATGATGCTTTTCTTGTTGGTGTAAACAGTGATGCTTAGTGTCCAGATGTTGTTGTCAGGTCTCACGCCCACACTGGCCGCCCACACACCTTCCTTGGGCGTCAGAGGAAGTGTAATATTGGTCTGCCAGGGTGGTGACTCCTGACAACCTGAAAAACACAGAGATGAAACACAATTACTCAACAAAACTCAGCCTTCCAGCATGAAACACTGACAAGTGTTTTATAAGACGCAATATTTTTGATAGTTAAGGTAAACTATAATAAAACACGAGAGCAAGAAGAACAGACTTGCCTTGTGTCGTCAAAGGTGATAATGCCGTCATTATCAACACCATAATGACACTTATATGCGAATTATTGAGGAACATATTGTAGTGGGTGTACACTGTGGTGGTGGTGGATTTAGACCGTTCTGGTTGTGAGGGGTGAAGAGAGTGGTGGTAGTGATGGGTGTAGACAGTGGTGGTAGTGATGGGTGTAGACAGTGGTGGTAGTGATGGGTGTAGACTGTGGTGGTAGTGATGGGTGTAGACAGTGGTGGTAGTGATGGTTGTAGACAGTGGTGGTAGTGATGGGTGTAGACAGTTTTGGTAGTGATGGGTGTAGACAGTGGTGGTAATGATGGGTGTAGACAGTGGTGGTAGTGATGGGTGTAGACAGTGGTGGTAGTGATGGGTGTAGACAGTGGTGGTAGTGATGGGTGTAGACAGTGGTGGTAGTGATGGGTGTAGACAGTGGTGGTAGTGATGGGTGTAGACAGTGGTGGTAGAGATGGGTGTAGACAGTGGTGGTAGTGATGGGTGTAGACAGTGGTGGTAGTGATGGGTGTAGACAGTGGTGGTAGTGATGGGTGTAGACAGTGGTGGTAGTGATGGGTGTAGACAGTGGTGGTAATGATGGGTGTAGACAGTGGTGGTAGTGATGGGTGTAGACAGTGGTGGTAGTGATGGGTGTAGACAGTGGTGGTAGTGATGGGTGTAGACAGTGGTGGTAGTGATGGGTGTAGACAGTGGTGGTAGTGATGGGTGTAGACAGTGGTGGTAGAGATGGGTGTAGACAGTGGTGGTAGTGATGGGTGTAGACAGTAGTGGTAGTGATGGGTGTAGACAGTAGTGGTAGTGATGGGTGTAGACAATGGTGGTAGTGATGGGTGTAGACAGTGGTGGTAGTGATGAGTGTAGACAGTGGTGATAGTGATGGGTGTAGACAGTGGTGGTAGTGATGGGTGTAGTCAGTGGTGGTAGTGATGGGTGTAGACAGTGGTGGTAGTGATGGGTTGTAGACAGTGGTGGTAGTGATGGGTGTAGTCAGTGGTGGTAGTGATGGGTTGTAGACAATGGTGGTAGTGATGGGTGTAGACAGTGGTGGTAGTGATGGGTGTAGACAGTGGTGGTAGTGATGGGTGTAGACAATGGTGGTAGTGATGGGTGTAGACAGTGATGGTAGTGATGAGTGTAGACAGTGGTGGTAGTGATGGGTGTAGACAGTGGTGGTAGTGATGGGTGTAGTCAGTGGTGGTAGTGATGGGTGTAGACAGTGGTGGTAGTGATGGGTGTAGACAGTGGTGGTAGTGATGGGTGTAGACAGTGGTGGTAGTGATGGGTGTAGACAGTGGTGGTAGTGATGGGTGTAGAGAGTGGTGGTAGTGATGGGTGTAGACAGTGGTGGTAGTGATGGGTGTAGACAGTGGTGGTAGTGATGGGTGTAGACAGTGGTGGTAATGATGGGTGTAGACAGTGGTGGTAGTGATGGGTGTAGACAGTGGTGGTAGTGATAGTTGTAGACAATGGTGGTAGTGATGGGTGTAGACAGTGGTGGTAGTGATGAGTGTAGACAGTGGTGGTAGTGATGGGTGTAGACAGTGGTGGTAGTGATGGGTGTAGTCAGTGGTGGTAGTGATGGGTGTAGACAGTGGTGGTAGTGATGGGTGTTAGACAGTGGTGGTAGTGATGGGTGTAGACAGTGGTGGTAGTGATGGGTGTAGACAGTGGTGGTAGTGATGGGTGTAGTCAGTGGTGGTAGTGATGGGTGTAGACAGTGGTGGTAGTGATGGGTGTAGACAGTGGTGGTAGTGATGGGTGTAGACAGTGGTGGTAGTGATGGGTGTAGACAGTGGTGGTAGTGATGGGTGCAGACAGTGGTGGTAGTGATGGGTGTAGACAGTAGTGGGAATGATGGGTGTAGACAGTGGTGGTAGTGATGGGTGTAGACAATGGTGGTAGTGATGGGTGTAGACAGTGGTGGTAGTGATGGGTGTAGACAGTGGTGGTAGTGATGAGTGTAGACAGTGGTGGTAGTGATGGGTGTAGACAGTGGTGGTAGTGATGGGTGTAGACAGTGGTGGTAGTGATGGGTGCAGACAGTGGTGGTAGTGATGGGTGTAGACAGTAGTGGGAATGATGGGTGTAGACAGTGGTGGTAGTGATGGGTGTAGACAATGGTGGTAGTGATGGGTGTAGACAGTGGTGGTAGTGATGGGTGTAGACAGTGGTGGTTAGTGATGAGTGTAGACAGTGGTGATAGTGATGGGTGTAGACAGTGGTGGTAGTGATGGGTGTAGTCAGTGGTGGTAGTGATGGGTGTAGACAGTGGTGGTAGTGATGGGTGTAGACAGTGGTGGTAGTGATGGGTGTAGTCAGTGGTGGTAGTGATGGGTGTAGACAATGGTGGTAGTGATGGGTGTAGACAGTGGTGGTAGTGATGGGTGTAGACAGTGGTGGTAGTGATGGGTGTAGACAATGGTGGTAGTGATGGGGTGTAGACAGTGATGGTAGTGATGAGTGTAGACAGTGGTGGTAGTGATGGGTGTAGACAGTGGTGGTAGTGATGGGTGTAGTCAGTGGTGGTAGTGATGGGTGTAGACAGTGGTGGTAGTGATGGGTGTAGACAGTGGTGGTAGTGATGGGTGTAGACAGTGGTGGTAGTGATGGGTGTAGACAGTGGTGGTAGTGATGGGTGTAGAGAGTGGTGGTAGTGATGGGTGTAGACAGTGGTGGTAGTGATGGGTGTAGACAGTGGTGGTAGTGATGGGTGTAGACAGTGGTGGTAATGATGGGTGTAGACAGTGGTGGTAGTGATGGGTGTAGACAGTGGTGGTAGTGATAGTTGTAGACAATGGTGGTAGTGATGGGTGTAGACAGTGGTGGTAGTGATGAGTGTAGACAGTGGTGGTAGTGATGGGTGTAGACAGTGGTGGTAGTGATGGGTGTAGTCAGTGGTGGTAGTGATGGGTGTAGACAGTGGTGGTAGTGATGGGTGTAGACAGTGGTGGTAGTGATGGGTGTAGACAGTGGTGGTAGTGATGGGTGTAGACAGTGGTGGTAGTGATGGGTGTAGTCAGTGGTGGTAGTGATGGGTGTAGACAGTGGTGGTAGTGATGGGTGTAGACAGTGGTGGTAGTTGATGGGTGTAGACAGTGGTGGTAGTGATGGGTGTAGACAGTGGTGGTAGTGATGGGTGCAGACAGTGGTGGTAGTGATGGGTGTAGACAGTAGTGGGAATGATGGGTGTAGACAGTGGTGGTAGTGATGGGTGTAGACAATGGTGGTAGTGATGGGTGTAGACAGTGGTGGTAGTGATGGGTGTAGACAGTGGTGGTAGTGATGGGTGTAGTCAGTGGTGGTAGTGATGGGTGTAGACAGTGGTAGTAGTGATGGGTGTAGACAGTGGTTGTAGTGATAGGTGTAGACAGTGGTGGTAGTGATGGGTGTAGACAGTGGTGGTAGTGATGGGTGTAGACAGTGGTGGTAGTGATGGGTGTAGACAATGGTGATAGTGATGGGTGTAGACAGTGGTGGTAGTGATGGGTGTAGACAGTGGTGGAAGTGATGAGTGTAGACAGTGGTGGTAGTGATAGGTGTAGACAGTGGTGGTAGTGATGGGTGTAGTCAGTGGTGGTAGTGATGGGTGTAGACAGTGGTGGTAGTGATGGGTGTAGACAGTGGTGGTAGTGATGGGTGTAGTCAGTGGTGGTAGTGATGGGTGTAGACAGTGGTGGTAGTGATGGGTGTAGACAATAGTGGTAGTGATGGGTGTAGACAGTGGTGGTAGTGATGAGTGTAGACAGTGGTGGTAGTGATGGGTGTAGACAGTGGTGGTAGTGATGGGTGTAGTCAGTGGTGGTAGTGATGGGTGTAGACAGTGGTGGTAGTGATGGGTGTAGACAGTGGTGGTAGTGATGGGTGTAGACAGTGGTGGTAGTGATGGGTGTAGACAGTGGTGGTAGTGATGGGTGTAGACAGTGGTGGTAATGATGGGTGTAGACAGTGGTGGTAGTGATGGGTGTAGACAATGGTGGTAGTGATGGGTGTAGACAGTGGTGGTAGTGATGGGTGTAGACAGTGGTGGTAGTGATGGGTGTAGACAGTGGTGGTAGTGATGGGTGTAGACAGTGGTGGAAGTGATGAGTGTAGACAGTGGTGGTAGTGATGGGTGTAGACAGTGGTGGTAGTGATGGGTGTTGTCAGTGGTGGTAGTGATGGGTTGTAGACAGTGGTGGTAGTGATGGGTGTAGACAGTGGTGGTAGTGATGGGTGTAGACAGTGGTGGTAGTGATGGGTGTAGACAAGGGTGGTAGTGATGGGTGTAGACAGTGGTGGTGATGATGAGTGTAGACAGTGGTAGTAGCAATGAGTGTAGACAGTGGTAGTAGCAATGAGTGTAGACAGTGGTGGTGGTGGGTGTAGACAATGGTGGTAGTAGTGATGGGTGTAAAAAGTGGTGGTAGTGATGGGTATAGACAGTGGTTGTGGTGGTGAGTGTAGCAGTAGTTGTGGTGGTGGGTGTAGAGTGGTTGTGGTGGTGGGTGTACAGAGTGGTTGTGGTGGTGGGTATAGACAGTGGTTGTGGTGGTGGGTGTAGGCAATGGTTGTGGTGATGGGTGTAGACAGTGGTTGTTGTGGTGGGTGTAGACAGTGGTTGTGGTGGTGCGTGTAGACTGTGGCTGTGGTGGTGGGTGTAGAGAATGCTTGTGGTGGTGGGTGTAGACAGTGTTTGTGTTGGTGGGTATAGAAAGTGGTGCTAGTGATGGGTGTAGAGACTGGTGGTAGTAATGGGTGTAGACAGTGGTGGTAGTGATAGGTATAGACAGTGGTTGTGATGATGAGTGTAGACAGTGTTTGTGGTGGTGGGTGTAAAGAGTGGTGGTA